AACGGGGGGGGGGGGGGGGTTCTGTGTATTCATAGCCGTGCCCGTGCATGCCGTAGTCGTTAGACCATTGACCTCGCATCCCTACAAAGCCGGGACGGAGCACGCCGGGTTCTCACCGGACCAGGCTCTCACATCACCAAGGGCGAAGCACCATGAGGTATTCGCCGAGTCGCATGAAGGGTGAGCTGCATCCTGCAAAGGGTGTTCGGCATCTTGTGCCTTCTTCCTTGCGTACGGATGACAGCTGCGTATGCATATGATCTAATTTATTTTCTAGTGTCACTTCCAGAGACAGTTACAAGCACTGTGTAACCGCCTCGAGGGTGCTTGACCAATTTAACACAACGTGGTGCGACCATCCCCTTTGCGCGGAGTGAGGGTTCTCGACGCCGCACAACACGATCTACCCGAACACCATTTATGGTTACCGCAAAAAAAAAAAAAAAGAGGCAAAAAAAAGCATTTTTGGGGAGGGGTCTTTCGTGCGGTACATCGACCGGAGGAGAACGTGATTGGGTTAGGTATCTCGGTGAGACCACCCCCGACGAACAGGGATCAGTCTTGCAATGCTTCCATTTTTCTGGGAGAATGATTGGTCGACGGAGAGCGCATCATTGGCGGAGGCCCAACTCTGTTCCAAAGGATCCCCACCCGCCTACCTAGCTTGTGCTGAGAGTTTCAGTCGTTGCCGAGAATGTAACGACGAAACTCCCCTTTTTCCTTTCCAAAAAACCAAGCACATCACACGTTCCTGACTTCATCACTTTGACTGGGAACTGGGAACCCCCAAGACCTCCAAACACCGCAGCCCCATAGACATTTTTGTGGGGGCAAGAGCAGCGGCAGTAGCCGGTTGGGCCAGGGGGACAAGACGAGAGACAACCGACACGCCATCCCGAGTTCTTTAGGCAATAACGAAGTCGACTCGAACAAAGTTGCGCTTGGTCAACGCGCCAAACGAATGGTACAAACTCTCCCATGCGAAAGAGAAAGCTGGGGGAGAATATGTGCGTCCCTACTCGGCAGTTCAGAGAACGCAGCGCAAAAGCTGCTCGAGCACATGGTCTGCTCCCTTGTGGACTACCGTACTCTTTTTTTCGTTTTTTTTTTCCCACCTTGCAGCAGGAACATTCGCGACAGTCCGGGTACCAAGTGTCCATAAGGTCCTGCTGCGCCGTTGATCTCGCCCCCGCCCCCCTCCCGCCGCCGCCGCCGCCGCCACCGCCACCACCACTGCTGCTGCCGCCACCGCCGAAATCGCCGAATGTAACCCCGTCTGAGTCCATCTTGCGGCCTGTGAGTCGTAGGTTTCAGAATGCACACGAGTTACGAGACGTTTTGAGGTGTGATCTCCGACATCTCCGACTGGGTCCACCGGCACCCGGTGGAAATTGTCGGTGTCGTACATGTAGAAGAATCATGCTGCCAAATACTAGGGCTCTCTCTGCCCATGGAAAATGGAGGTATCTTCTCTCAGCATCAGAAACAACTCGAGAAAGATCATCCAAACAAACCGGTTTCGTGGCACGCGTTGCGGGTTGCTTCAGAAAAGCCGCCCCGCATCGGCTGAGCGGGGAATATTATCACCACGGGGGGCGCAACTTTTCCAGCCAGGATGGAAGCCAGTCCGCCCGCAGGGCAAGCAGATACTGCCTGTGTGTTTGACTGGACACGCTACCAACACAGCAGCAGTGCAACGACAGTAGCATGCCACAGCCTCGGCAATGGTGCTCATCCCGCGGGTCCCAACACCCGAGGCCGAGACACCCAGCATAATCCTCCCCGGTCTTCCGCTCTTCTCACCTCGTGGGTGGCCGAAGGAACAGTTCGCCCGCTTGCAACCCGTACCGTAGCGGCATTCCGGACCGCCCCCCGCCCCCCTGCCCGCGCTAGGTCGGCCCCCGCCCCCCCCTGCGGGCGCAGGTGGCGCCGCCGCCGCCGCCGCCGCTAGGGCTGCCTCTGTAGGGGGCTGCGGTGGCTGTGTCCACCCTTCCCCGGGTCCCATCGGGCTGCCGTTGCTTGCCATCCCCAAGTGCGGGGAGTCCGTCCTCGACTTTGCAACAAAAAAAAACATGAGAGAAATTGGGGGAGGCGTGATGGGGGGATGAGGGTTGAGAAAAAAACGTAGAATTTCGAATGAGGAATTGTAGGATGAGGGTATGGGGGTTGAGAACGGTCACGAGCACGCATTACTGTTTGAATAAAAAAGAAATGGACTCAACCGCAAAGATTTCTATGTAGCAAAGAATAGAGAAGATAGTTCTCTATCAGCAAGTGGTAGGTGAAAATTGGATATAGGGTTCGGGGCCAAGGCAGAACAGGAACGAACTACACAGCCTTTTCAACATACGACAAGAACGAAAGAGTGCAAACCCGCCTCGAAATGGGAGATCGCAAGTCAAATCAATGTGATCGAAAAATCCAACCATCTTGCAAACCTGAACTTGTCTGCGCCCTACATGCAGCTGCGGCTGCGGTAAGGCCATGCACATCACCGTAGAGTCCTTTTCTTGTACCCTAGATGACTGATCAAGCAGGATCCACGTTCGTAGAACAACGCTCCCGTGTTGGACGTGGCATCGCTGCTGCCCTTCGTAAGCAAACGCAGACACCAGCCGACCGTTCCTAATCTACGCATGTTCATAGGTTCCCCGCGTACTTGAATTGGCGTCGCTACGATCACCTGCTAGTTGAGAAAGCAGGCCGTCGATGTGCAATCGAGAGCCAATTTTCGCTATTGCCGCCTTCTGTGAACCGCGGTTAACAAGTAAGGAACGAAGTCGAATGGTTATCTAATTATGCTTACGATATTTGAGGCGACGTCGCTGCTGCCGTCCAGGTCTGCTTCCTCGATGCTGCACGTGCACTGTCCCATGGAGTCGCAGATGTCGGCGGTGCAGCCGTACACGAAGCCCTTTTCTCGGAGACGTAGGCAAGAGAGAGAGGGGGGGCACAGCAACAACCGAAAGAGAGAGACAGGAGCGGGGGGGAGTTAGAAGGAAATAACAATGCAGAGAGAGAGCGAGCACGTGAGATAATCAGTCGTAAAACGTTGGCCGCTAAAAAGGGTCCTTGGTGACACAGCCGCAATACATGACGCAAAACAACTCCTGCTGATGAAGTATCCAGAACAGACAGACGGCCTCTCATGTTGGAGGCATCCGGTTCGGAGCCTTGTCATGGCTGAAAAAAAAAGAGTTGCACCAAATCAATTTACAATCGCACGTACACGTCGCGTCGTTCATTTGCGGCATGCCAACAACGGCTCGGTGCGGTTTCGGGTTAAAAATCTCAGGGGGGGTATTCACTACAAATCGCCTTCTGATACCATCACGTGCAGAGTGTACGGTGTGTGTATGCGTGTGCGAGCGAGCGAGCGAGCGAGCGAGCGAGCGAGCGAGCGAGAGAGAGAGAGAGAGAGAGAGAGAGAGAGAGAGAGAGAGAGAGAGAGAGAGAGAGAGAGAGAGAGAGAGAGAGAGAGAGAGAGAGAGAGAGACGTGGGTTCATAGGTGTAGTACGCAAAACGTTTGCGTAGTGGTGCGTTTCTCGAGCTCGAGAAAAAAAATCTCGCAGTACATATCGATAATACTCTCGCGCGCAACCTACAAAATCAATCATCAATCCCGTTGCCACCAAACACCGAATAAACCGAAAAGAACGTGAAGGCGAGGGCGCGTCGGTCTCTATCGAACCATCTCCTTGTCCGACATGCCTTCGACGTGTGCATAAATGAAGCCTTTTCTCTCGGTCATATTATATAATCGCGTTTGCGTTGATTCTCCTGGGCCCTTTCGTCATCTCTTCGTTTTCCACCACGTACCCGGTCGCCACAAAAAAACTTTCGGCATCTCTTTCAAGGTGATACACACGCCCGACCGAGTCCACGGTCAAGTCGAACCAAGTGCGGGCGCCGGAAGGTCGTGAGCTGACACTCGAAACTTAAAACGTCAGAGGCAACAAAAATGCCAACAACCACGACACCAAAACCACCTCGACGAAAATGCCCCGACAACCCCAAGAACGATCACATGACACACCTTGCAGCACGTGCAGTCGCGAGCCTTGGGGAACCACGTGTCCCTGAGGTCCTGCTCATCGTCCGTGGCGTTCGCCGGGGGATAGGAGCCGAACGACAACTGCCGCGTTGTTACCAAGACCATTTGCCAGAACCACCACACCCCACACGCGGCAGCAAGCGAGAAGGGGGAGGGGGGCACGTAGAGGGCGGAGTCAGGGTTCGGTGTGTGCGACGCGGCCGGGAATAGGGAGGTGGAGGGGGGGATAGCTGCCTCTTGAGAGCTGAAAGCACCGCCTGATGCAGAAGAAAACGACGCCGATTCAGGTGTGATGGCGCAGCACTCTTCCCGTTCCGAGCAACATCAAAGGATGCAAACCAGCTCACGGATGCGTTGACAACTAACTTCTCGAGGCCGCGGTCTCTTTGGGGAGCACGAGGTTATCACCCTAGTGGGGCACAGCAGCCTTCTTTTTGGGGAGGGTGCAATGTTTCAAAAGGCGGCGCCAGGAAAACAAAACAAGAAAAGACGCACAAAAAATAGGCCAGGCCTTTTTCTCTCGTGAAAAAACAACCGCTGTATCTCGACCACCACGACGACGATGGACAAGCAGACTTCTGTGGAAGACTGATGCGCAAAGGGTAGGGAAGAGCACCTAGACCTGCTGCCGCATTGAATGACTGCCCTCGTGTCCCCTCTCGATAGGCAGTTTCTGCAAGGCACAGCAGCAGCGTCATCGAGCTCCCCTCTCTCTTCTGTTTTTATCTATCACCAATCACATACAGCGAGCAGTCGCAGAATCAGCGAGGTTAACGGCAACAGCAGCAGCGGTAGGAGCGCCGATTGTATAGAGAGTGGTGGTGCTTCCACGATAAGGCCCGTGCTTGCCTTGTGCGCAAAGTCTGTAAAAGATTCCTCCTTCGGCAGCAATGAAATTCAACAGGCAAGAAGAAAAACTCTTTGCGTGTTGCTTCCACACCAACAACACAACAACTACAACAACAGCAGCAGAACCAGGCATTACCAGAGCAAGGGTGTTAGTGCTGTTGCGTCTGGTAAATTACGGGTACAGTCACGCTAGGAATGCCGCTGCTCCGGTGTGTACGCCTCGCCCGTCTTTGCTCTCCCTGCCGCCTCTGGGACACACGGAGTGCTGTCGCTCTGCCTTTCTCTCTCTCTGTCTCTCTCTCTCTCTCTCTCTGCTTCTTGCTCTCTCTACAATATATATATATGCCCACGGGTGTGCTGGGCATGCCGGGCGGTGTTCAAAGATATCCGCTCATCGATGGAAACGAGGTCGTTCGTGGGTACAAGTTCTTGTCCACATACCGACGGCCAGGCTCAAGACAAAATAGCCGATGCCAACACTACGATGCAGCAAAATGACGGAAAATAATTGTACGGGACGGATTTCTTTACTTCTTGTGTTTTCTTTCGTTTCCGGCGGGGAGGAACGAGGAACACTCGTGTCAAACCGAACGCTGCCGATATCTTGCCGACGAGTTGTCACACAAGACACGAGCCCTGCGGGATGCGTGGAAATCAACCCTAGACCCCCATAAACATGTGCCAAAGCGCCCACCTCCGACATGCCCCTGGTGACAGAAACAGCGCTGTTGTTGCTCGTGCCCCGGTTGAGTGCAGGTCTCCTGCCGCCGCCGCCGCCGCCGCCACCGCCTCCATCGCCGTCAATCGCCCGGCCTGCGGGAGAAATAAAAAAACACAAGGCAGCCTTTAGGAGAATTAGCGAAACCCTCGACGACCGACGACCCATCCACGCGCATATTATAAGTAGGAGTTTCTCCGCTTGGAATGTTATGCGGTAACCCTACTCCTGTACAGCGCGGTCCGCACTTATCGCACTATCGCGGGGTGAAGTACCATGGTTACTTGAAGTCCAGTCGGAGGAGCGGTGGCCAAAAAATGTGCCAAGTGCTATGTATATGTATAGTACTGCTGTTCAGGCACTAATCTAAAGGGGGAGGCTGGCTGCTGGAGTCCACTCGAGAGGACGACGTTGTACCCACTTCCGCAACGACGATAGCACGTGTAGAGACTCATTGCCGCAACGCATTGAATGAAGCCTGCTGGGAGGATTCGGCTGCCTGCTGTCGTGCGCAACTGGCGTGACCTGTGTTGAGGTTCGTGGCGCTCCAAAGACATGTCATACGGCAGAGGCGACGCTGAGAACGCTACTGCTGCCGCTGGAACAAAAGGCGCCGCCGAAGAGAAATGCCAGCAGAATACAGCAGTAGTGCAATTGGGCATTCTCCGAATCGTAGTGCACGGGGTCGGTTGCTGCCCGCCGCGCGTACGGCACAGCAGGAGAGAGAGAGCGAGACGGGAGGCGGACAACGAGCGATCTTGCAGCACTGGCTTTCCGATTGCAGTGCAGTTGCATGGAAATAACCACTGCTTCTTCCGAACATTTACCTGCCACCTCCCCCCCCCCCCGCCCCCCCTCTCTCTCTATCTCTCACCAAACGGATGGCTGAAGTGGCAGTCCTCGCGCTTGCACTGGAACCCATAGCGACACTCGTTGTTGCCTCCTCCTCCTCCTCCTCCTCCCCTGCCCCCTCTCCCACCACCTCCCGCTTGCCTGGGAGATGCGTGAGGCATCATCCCGCCAGGCACCATCCCGGGTCTCGCACCGCCGCCGCCACCGCCGCCGCCAACAGCCCCGCCTGGTGGACCGCTTGCACCATTGCTGCCGTTGGGCATCGCACCGTAACTGCTGCTGCCGGCGCCGGCGCCGCCCCCGCCGCCTGCATCGATCGACCGCCCTGCGGGATGAGCGTACCAGCAATCTTTCCTGTGGCAGTCCACGCCAAACCGGCAGGGCATCGGTCCACGTCCGTTCATGGTCGCGTAGTCGGTCCCTGTAGCGAGTGCTGTTTGATTGTGCTGGGCGCGCTCACGTTCTCTCTTCCCTGTCCTCCGTATTGCTTGTCAGTTGGGATACACAGATAGCTTGATAGCTTGGGGCGGGGGTGTCACAGAAGCTACCAGGTACAAGCTTATAGCTTGGGGATACCGTACTGAATCTGCGCAACCCCCCATCCCATCCGATGTCTTGATTTTTTTTTTTTTCCAATATAATGCAATCATCGTTGATTGTAGACTAGACTACATGTTGTACAATAGCGTACATGCGAGCGAGTAGTGTCGACATGTGCCCCGTGGATCCAGTAACACTCTACATCAGAGAGCACCGACACAGCACCGAGGAGGACCTAGAACCGGGAGAGAGTTACCCTCTGGACATGTGCTGCTGTTGGAGGCTCGATCGTTGAATTTGTGCTCGATGACATACCGTAAGAGTCGGAGAAATGGCACCCCTGTGTTAGCGTTTTCTTGTAGCGTATTTCTCCACAACTAGGAGGGTGCGAACACCAACTGTTGTTGTTGTTGTTGTTGTTGTTGTTGCTGTTGTCTTCACATTAAAAAACCGTTCTGTTGTCTCCACCCGGTACCCTCTTCTGTCCGTACTAGTCCAACACTTGACGCGGTCGATTCCAGTGGTCACAGGCTAACTTACCCAAAAAAGGTATACGAAAACAAAATGGACCCGGGGTCCGCAAGTCAACAGAAATCAACGACAGGTAGGTGCACTTTAACAGCGCCCACCACGCTCGCGATAACCGGAGGCGAACATCCTCCACTACTGACTGACTGCAATCTGGATTGCCCCATCACCGACGTCAAAACAGCCAATCATGGCCCTACCGCAGCACAAGCACCACCATCACCACCACCATCACCACCGCTGCTGCCGCCACCGTCACGGCCGGCACTAGAATCTCTCATCTCCGCACGAGCTCCGTCGCCTCTCGCAGGAGCGGCGGCCGCGGCGGCACCACCACCACCACCAGTCCTTGCAACGGCTCTACCCTCTACCTCCTCTTCTCCCTCCCCGGCGTTTCGTTCGTCGCCACCACGGCCATGAGCGGGGCACGGCAACGGAGGCTTTTTCTCGCCATGCTCTTCTCCCGCCGCACCCGAGGAACTAGTGCCGGGCCCGGTCACGGCGTCAGGATAAACCTCTCTCCACTTGTCGTGCCACGCCTCCATCCCGGCGAGCGCGATCCTCGTCATCCCCGCCGACCACACGCCCCCGCCCCCCCGCCCCCCACCCCCCGTAACCTCCTTCGTCTTGGAGACGGCGAGGGCTTTCGCGTGGGCCTCGAGGTCGGCCGCGGTCACGCTCCGGACCCCGTTGCTCATCGCCGCCGCCGCGGCCTCCGCCGCCGCCGCCGCCATCCACTCCCTCACGTTCTCGGTGACGGCGGCGGTCACGTGGCACGGCGCGTCCAGCGGCGGCGGCGGCGGGCCCGTCAGGTCGCGCTGCCTGCCTCTCGGCAGCGGGCCGTTGGCCTGGCGCAACGCCCGGGCCATCTTCTCCTCCTCCGTCAGAACCTTCCGCGGCCTGCCGCGCCTCCGCTTCACGGTGGGGATGTCCTTCTTGAAGATCCTCCTAGGGGCCGGGGGCGCGAAGTCGGCCTCGGTGGCGAGGCCGGCGGCGATCGCCGCGGCCCTCGCGGCCGCCAGCTCCTCAGCCTTCCTCTGGTCGGCCTTCGACCTCGGCTTCCCCTTGCCCGAGTTGCCGTTCCGCCGCCTGGCCTCGTACCTGCGGATGGCCCTTTTTCGGTGAGACGCAGCGCGGACAGACGGGAACGAGCGGAGAGAAACACGGCCAAGAACATTGTCGAAAGCAATTGAAACCAAGGGCCCCGCAAGAGAGCAATCGAAACCGAGGGCGCCAAAGAGACAGAGAGGGAGACACAGAGGATGAACAGATGCTAAAAATGATATGGGCAAAGATGCCCTGGGCACAGAGACGACAACAGTTCCGCGCTCGTGAGTCGCCCAAAAAGCATCCTCGCACATCCTAGTCGGTCGGAAGCCTTCGGGTTGGCTCGCTCGCATAAATGTTTTTCACCTGAGCCGTCGCTCCTCCTGCAGCTCTTCCGGGTCTTTCTGCATGGCACGTTTCCGCTCGAGCTCTTCCATTCTGTTCGCCTCCCATTGGACGGGGTCGGTTATGCTGCATTCGTCGTGAAATTCAGGCAAAAATCAACAAGAAGTGCGTTCGCATCAATTAACAGAACAGTTTCATTCAAGACCGGAGAGACCACAACCAAAGAACAGCCAAAGAACAGGAACAGGGGCGTTCTTGCGTAGACTCACGCGACCGAAAGAAAGAAACTAAAACTAGCATGATATGCGTGAATCGATCTCATGTACCTCCGATAGACGAGCTTACTTCCTTCCCTATCTTCCAAACCGGTCGTCGGAGAACATCAACCAGTCTCGAAGACCCAACACAGGAGGTGTCACTGGGACCAAGTAAACAGGGGACCACAGCACAGATTTGGGACAGAGAGGAGGGGTGGTACTGCGAGACCAACGCAGGGTATATACGATGTGGGATGCCAGTAGATCCTGGCACCTTTACCACCTGCTGAGATGGATTGGTTGGGTCCTTCACGTCTCAAAACACCCGCAACCGAAAAACACACCTCAAGGCTATCTTCTGCCTTCGAATTTTCTCGCCCGCAGTGATCACTTCGTACGATCTGCACACAAACAAGAGCGAGCGTCAGGAAGCGGTTGCTGAAGTTCGGCTTCGACGGGACGAAGGCACGGGCGGGTCATGACCACGCCTGGGAAGGGTTGACCTTGAGATGGCCATATCGGGTGTGTGTCGCCTTTCAAAGGCTGTGTAATGCAAAAAAATACAAATTCCACACAGGCACGTTTCGCGTACATTCGTGGAGCTTCACAACATTATATCTGAGAACTTTTCCCTCACGGTAGCCCAAAAACCACGGGTCTGCCCTATGCTCTTCAGTGACACCGACGAACAACACGCCATCGTCAAAAAGAGACGTAACCTAAATAAGCAGACAGAGATTCCAAACATGAACACACGTAAAAGTGCCCAGAATTCCTACACCAAGGAAAGACCAAACACCACCCCCATCCAACTTGTAACATACAACAGCCGCAGCAACAGCGGCCACCACAACGGCGGCAGCAAAACCCGGCCCACCGAATCGCGTCCCAAACGGTGACTTTATAGCTGAGGAGAAAATCGTCGATTTCCTTAGCCGTCGTCGGGAAGGGCTTGGCCTTCCTCTTCCTCCGTTCGGGCTTCGCGTGCGCACGGTGGAGGAAGAGCCAAAAGGCCAAGAGCAGCAGCAGCAGCAGCAGCAGCAGCAGCAGCAGCATCAGCAGCAGAAGCAGCAGAAGCAGCGATGACGGTGCCCCCAGCATAAGAGCAGCACGTGGTACGCAGGACAGCAGTAAGACAAGGCCAGCAAAACGACGGGGTCGGGTCTATTATATGGGTGCTGTGTATAACGCATCGGGAAGAGGCAGGGGGGACAACAAGAGCAACAACGATGACGACGACGACAACAAGAGCCAACAGCAACAGCAACGACAACGGAAAAAAAACTGACAAACTGTCCGTGTCGCGGCAAGCTCACCCTCTTCGTCGAGGGGTACTGTTCGGCGAGCCTCCTGGCCGCCTGTCTCCTGAGGGCCGCAATCCTTGTCCTGTACCTGCTTGTTTCACAGGGTCCCCCCGAAGAGAAACGCGGCAAAAAACGAAACATTTGAATACACACAAACGGCACGAAACAGAAAGCTGATGGAGTTGTTGGGCAACCCCAAGACAACGCCCCAACGTATATACCACACAACAGCACACATCCCAACAAGCAAGCAGGTGCGTGCGTGCAAACCCAGGCGTACAGGTCCCGGCATCACGCTCTCTTACTCTCTGGTCGCTATTAAAGTTCGGCGAGGGAGGGCCACTTCTCGTACTGAAACACAACAGTACACAACTCGGGCCCGGGGCATCGATGCTGCCGACAACGCGGCAAGGGTTGGCGATTCTAAGGGACTTGTACCGACGTATCCCGAAGGTATAACCCCAAGGTGACCGGGTTGGTCCAGGCAACGGGAAGATGTTCGTCTCTCTCTCTCTCTCTCTCTCTCTCTCTCTCTCTCTCTCTCTCTCTCTCTCTCTCTCTCTCTCTCTCTGTCGGCGACGATGAGTTGGTCCGACCATGGACGTTTGTAGCTCGGTTCGAAACGTGGTCCGACCCGAGATACGATCTGAAGGCGCTGCAGCGATCAATTCCCACCGACCGTCTTATTTTTCTATGCCTCCCTTACCGCCTGATACGCGCCACGACCGGGCGCGCTATCTCCCCGACCAGGCGCTCCTCTTTCAGAAACCCTTCTGCGTCCGTCGCGGTAGAAGAATGCTTCCGCAGCACGTCCTGCAGGTCTACCTCCGAATTCATCTTGTACAAATTCAAGTAGACAAAAGGTGTCAGGAGAATGGCAAAAAGCGTGAAGCGGTGAGGTTGGATTTAGCGGGTGGTGCATGACGCGGGGACTCCCGTGATCGTGCGTCAGTTGCTTAGGTATATGGCCTTGCCGTCCGTAGCGGGTGCCCGGCGTGGAACCCCTTGCGTATGCCAACAAATCCAGCCATGCCTCAAAACTACAGTACTACTCTGTTGCAGTACGTGGCCTCTACAACAGCGGCAGATTGTGTTGGTCTAGTCCATGTCTCCGGCTGCAGTCAAGTTCTGTAGGATTGACGCAAACCGTTTTCGTACTCCGTTCCTCGTTCCTTCTGTTGCATGAACCATGCCGATTAGCCCTCTTCGCGGGGGTACTATCCTCCGGTTGGGTTTCATGTGAACCTCTACGCGCGAGGCCACGCGCAGGCAGCTCACCAACGTTTCCATGAGGTCGGCCGTGTCCTTGATGCGCCTGCCCCTGTAAGCCTTCTGTTGGGCCTTCTCCGCAGCCGTAAGCCGCGCTCTTTTCCTCTTGCCGCCCTCACCCTTGACCTGTGTGCCTCCTCCCGTAACCCCGCTGACGTTCACAACAGCACCGACGCTGGACGCTCGTGCTCTCTCCTGGTTTCCTACCCTGCCCTGTTTCCCCTCGCGTGGCCCCCCTTGCCCTTCCCCCTCCTCCGCTCCCTCTACATCCCCGTGCCCGCCGCCTTTGTGGGATGTAGTAGCTCTGAGACAGGAGGAGTGGCGGCAAGAGATGGACGACGGGGCCAGTAAGTAGCGCGCAGATCTCAGCAGTTTATCGACACTCCGATATTGTTACGAGGCGTACGCATGCATTGTTTACGGTGCCATGTTCTCGACTGCTCCGAATTCGAAATCTGCATTCAGACGAAATGAGATTTTGCGGTAGTTGAGATGTAACGATCAAAAGCTCTGACCCACAGCAGTGAAAATTCAGTACTTCATGCCAGATATTTAGCTCACTTTATCGGCGGATCGTGACTGGGGAGATCAGAAACCGCAAGAGTTCCCGCTACTCGCTCGAGTGATAAAAGAAACAGAGCTATCTCGGATCTTGGGAGAAGCGCAACCTGCTTTCGTTGTCACACACTCCCGACCGCCTGCTGGCAGGGAACACAGCTACAGCAGTGGTACCAGGCACATGATGATGTGCCACCTCATGGGTGCGTACTGTCCAGCGCTCACACACGGTCCCTTGCCGTAAGGCGCGGAGGCAAGAGGAAGGGCGAGAGAATTCATCTCTGGAACAGGGCTGCTTTGCTAGAACACACTCAAAGCTCTCGTGCTCCGCACCCAACGGCGAGCTGTACGATACTGTTGACTGTACTGTAGCGCGTTCAAATACTTCAAGTAGCGCCAGGCTGCCGCAAGTGTTCCTCCTCTGCTCACCTGGCGCAAATACTTCGAGGTTTCCCTTGATCACGGAAGACTGGTAGGCATTTCCACCACAGTATCTCCTCTCCCACCAGGAGCTGTCGACTGCTGTCTCCGCAATTGCTTCTCGATGTCCCGCTGCTGCCGTTGATGCAACAAGCTCTGGAGACAGCCCCCGCAACAAACGCAACCGGAGGCAAAGACCGCGACCTCGTTACACATGTAACCAATACCAACGCCAATCCAAAGGTTATCCGTCTGTTCGCCCATCCCGGCAGCAGCACCATTCGCGGGCGATTCATGGAGAATTCATGCATCAACACCACCCTGGCGACCTGTTTCTCATTGTTCTCTGCTCTCCCGGCGGCCTGGCTGCCATGTGCTGGCGTGAACAGCCACGTTTGTAGCAGACACCTGGTGGCTTGACACCACGGAACCCCTCTCCCACATACGTACGCAAAACGCCTTTTTTCATTTTCGGAGAATCCGCCCCACAGTCTCGCAGCAAAGGATTGAAGAACGAGAGACCCTCCCACCCTCCCAAGCAACAGCGACGGGCATACCACATCAGCGAAATAAATTCACCGGCAACACCATCTCCTTCGAAAACATGTTGGATAGAGAGACAAGACATCAGGCAGCCATACTTCGTCGTATGACCCACGAAAGAGAGGGTGAAAAGGAATGTTGATTCTGTGTGCATTTGCTTCAAGAAAAACATCGATAGGATACACCCAATAAATATTATTGGCTACAGATACGTAGTAGCTGCTGTACACTTACAGTGTAGTCCAGACATACATATGAATCTTCATTCGATTTCCGCACAGGGTCCGGAGTCATCGCATGACTCGCAGACTACGGTAGTCAAGTGCCGATCTTTACTCCTGTAACCAAGCCGGGGTGCTGGCATGTTGGCTCCACTGTAGGGCATTGTCGAAACCACGCCTTTGGAGGAACGAAGGAAAAGAAAAACACTGTACATAGTCTAGTCTCCATGACCCTGTGGTCATTGAATTGGGTAAGAGAATAGCAGCCACAAGCCAAGACAACTACCCTCTGGCACGATTGCCAAATGACTGTGTGCCGCGTGTGTGCACAACTCGACGGCGGGAAATAATTTCGGGTTCTGTTTTTTCCGCCGACGGACGGGATTTCATATTTCGCCGTGTGCTATTTCGCCACCTACTTGGATTGTGCATGTATGTGTGTTCCCCTCCCATGGTATCCACCGCCCTAACTGGTTGACTGATGTGCGCGTGTGTGTTCGTTACGTGTGGAGCCTGCAACCGCAGCACAACCGAGGCACCCGTTATAAACATATGCGTTCGAGCCCCGCACATCCCGGAGTTTTCACACAAGGGTGCGTGTTGAATATCCAAACCAAATGATTTAAATTCGATTTCTGCATACGGCCCAGAGTCATCGCGCTGTTCGTGACGTTGATTATTTCATCATTACGAATACGCTACTGCTGTAGTTACTCATGTATGATGGTTTCTACCATGGAGCCTAAAGTGGCAGCCAAGGGGCATAGATCTTCGGGGTATCTTATGACATGTCTAGAATTCTGTATCTTTGACCTGTTGCATAGTGTTCCGAGTTCTGCGTTTTCTTGCTACTGGTGTGCGGCACGGGAGTTCGCCTCCCGTTGCCACTCTCTCTCCTGTTCCCCTTACGACAAGGGCAACCTAATCAACGACTTTACCATGTTAACATCTCTTCACGCCTACCAACGGCGCAGCCTTGCTCATCCCAGCAGCACTAGGCTTGGGGCAATCAAACACTCTAGAGTAACCGCTTTACTCCGATTCTAGTGGGGCATACCATGCAGTCAGGAGGACCTGCAGGATCGAGCGACGCCGGCGACGATCCCCCGACTCGCGAGGAGTTCCGGGATGCACTTGCCGAGATCAGCGGCAGGATGGAGAGAATCATGGAGGAGAAGTTGGAGAGGATAATGGATGCCTTGCCTCGAGTAGTGCCCGAGGCACCGCCCGCCGGTAGTGTGGCCGCAGCGGGCGGCGGGGGAGAGTCAAGGGGGGGAAGGCACGCCCCTCCAGGCGCGGGTTCACCACCGGATCAAGCGCCGAACACAACCAGGGGAGGATATGCCGAGGGGGCGGAAGGGCTGCTGGGGCCAGCACCATCGGAGGGAGAAGCCTCGCGCGGAAGCGAACGCCACAGGACCGACGGGCACTACTCTTCGGACTCGAGGGCCCGGATCCCGCGTCTGAAGCAGCTGAGCTTCAACGGCCAGGAGAAGACCTGGCCCATGTTCAAGAATGACTTCACCACGCACGTGCAAACGTGTGGGATGACTCGGGCGCTGAAAGACAGCCGAGACATTGTGGTGCTAGGGATGGACGATGCCGGTATGGTTGAGCAGGGGGTAGAATATGAGGACATTCCCATGTACCGTGACTTGTGGAGTATGTTGACTGGATCTATCGTAGACGACACCACCAAGATGATGGTGTACCAGAATAAGGGGCCATCTGCAGCATGGTGTGCACTTGAGCAGCAGTTTGCGCCGTTGACGGGACGAAGAGACATTCGTGGCAAAGTCTATCCGATGTCACGTGTACTCCAGCAACCACTATGCAAGCGCATGCCCTCAACAGATTTGCCAGAGATGCGGAGGCATGGGGCACAATGTGAAAGACTGCGCATCGAAAGGTGTAGAGACAGCTGTGCTCGCGTACGCGGGGATGAGCGAGGAGGAGTTGGACGTAGCTCGCGAAGCACTTTGACGTTTTTCTGAAGTTCTTCGTTGTATCTTTGTTTCTTATGAACAGATGCCCTGACCCCCCCCCCGCGTCATCCAGCAGGTCAGCCTTTTTCCAACCATGTGGTATTTTTATTTTTTCCGGCGCGTTGTCCTTCTGATGTCTATCGCAGATACATAGAGCTGGTACGCACAGAGTTCCCGCTTGAATCGACATGTCGCTCGCTTGGTTTTTTCTGTGCTCATCTCAGTTGACAACCATGCAGGTAGATGCACGTGGCGTCCTTGCATGAAATAAATAATTGATGATGGCATAGCAGTTCCGCTGTTGTCTCATTTCTGGGTTGATGACCTGCGGGGCACCGCGGGCACACCGATTTGATTGATGATGTCGGAATTATTTTCAGCCTGATTTGTTCGGGTGTGCGAAGAAGACGCGCCCCGTTGTACCGAATTTAGGTTGAGTTCTTGCTATGAAGTCAGGGAGGGTTGACGCAGGGCACTGCAGCCCCTCTTTCGTGATGGATGGCGACCAGTGTCTCCCATTGTAGTAGCACCGACAGGTTGGTTGGGCTGTCTGTGGTTGAGATGCTGCTTGATCTTTCATTGATGTATAGGTTGAGGGGGGCACCCTTCCCTACGATGTGACTGATTGCCCTTTTTAAATGTTCTTCCGATGTGACGGATCAACAAGGTGTTCGGGGTTGTAGACGAGCTCCAAATGCTAACAGCAACCTGATACAGTAGGGATCCTGTTGCTGGGAGGGGGCTACTTGAAAAGGAGTAGTAAAAAATGTCTGTGACCAGTGTCTCCCGTAGAAGTACCGACAAGTTGGTTGGGCTGTTTGTGGTTGAGATACTGCTTGATCTTCCGGATGGTTGATCGCCCTTTTTTGGATGTCATCGAGAGCGATTAGCGTTGGTACACGTTTTCCCGCTGCGGTTTGGCATTATTGGTGCTTGGGGTAGTAGACGCACTCCAGTGCTAACAGCAACCTGATACAGTAGGGATCCTGTTGCTGGGAGGGGGCTGCTTGAAGAGGAGTAGTAATAATGTCTGATGTGTGCAGGCTCGCGGGTTTGCAAGGTGGCTACTGCTGTATGGTTTTGTGTTGACAATTCAAACAGTAGGGCGGAGGGTTTTGATCCGGTGGCCGGGTTTCCCTTCGTTTGCTTTATTTTTGAAGTTTTTATGAGTACCATTGAATCCTTTGGTTTTTCGAGCGTCCGTAACGATGTGCTGAATCAGGGAGGGTGTTCGTGAGGTTGATTATTTCATCATTACGAATACGCTACTGCTGTAGTTACTCATGTATGATGGTTTCTACCATGGAGCTAAAGTGGCAGCAAGGGGCATAGATCTTCGGGGTATCTTATGACATGTCTAGAATTCTGTATCTTTGACCTGTTGCATAGTGTTCCGAGTTCTGCGTTTTCTTGCTACTGGTGTGCGGCACGGGAGTTCGCCTCCCGTTGCCACTCTCTCTCCTGTTCCCCTTACGACAAGGGCAACCTAATCAACGACTTTACCATCTTAACATCTCTTCACGCCTACCAACGGCGCAGCCTTGCTCATCCCAGCAGCACTAGGCTTGGGGCAATCATACACGCGCCCCTGTGCGATGAAAAATGGAATGGCGAGAATCTTTACAAAACGGCCGCACGGGGGTGCGATGAATCTTTCGGGAGTCTCTCTCGTTGGTAGGAGTGGCGGGATTGAATGCAGGAGAGGGGTTCGCGGATACCGCCACTCTAAACGTGCATCCGGGACAGAGACGTTTTACGCTCGCTCGGCACACAGTATCGATACTGCAGCCGGTAGCTAAGGGACGATTACTTACATGCAAGAAGCAACTGTTTGGTTATCATAGATGTCTGCTGTCGATGTGTCCGAGACGTGCTCGCCAATGGTGAATGAATGCTCATCTTGTTTCAAGAAGGGCGGATGGGACCTCCATAGGACGGCTCTAAAGCAAACTAGAGGTATTAGCAACATATTTATAGCAAGGCTCTTCGGCATACGCAGGTCACACCCGTAGCAATATTGCTTTGAAATACCCCGTCTCACCCATTCGCACCCCGGCGAGAACGAACGACAACGTCGAGGTTCGCGCTTACGTTGACTCCCGAGTGCGAGGAGGGCATGTTGAGTCTCATCCGCTCTCGTCTTGAGGCTCGTTCGCCGATGGAATAGCGCGATCGAACAACGTGATACTCCGCACATGCATGCGATGCAGCAGCCAGCGTTTTCTGTTCTCTGCACGCCACGGCCGCGCTCACCTCCATCACACACCAGGTGGAGTGTCAAAATGCCGTGAAGCTCCAAGACAGGAAGAATGTTGTATCAGCGGGGCATATAGGTGGGTATTAGACGAAGTGACACCAAGCGTTGCCACTGTTGAGGCAAAGGTGAAAAATTATTCATATATTTCTAAGCTAAATATCATCCACCCGTTGGGGGTAGCACGACCAATTTTCCTTGAGCAGGTCATTATTGACTGAGAATCTGTCGCGAAGTCCAAGAATGATGGACAACATTCTATTTCCACGTTAAGTGGTTGTCGGCAGTGCCTTCCACATTTTTCAAGGAATTTGGTCGGACTACGAACATCGAAACGGTGTTCTGGCGTCCAGAGAACATCATCAACGCAACTGGGAGGAGACACACCATTATGAAAAATCCGCGTAGCAGCACCCCTTCAACTCCTCCCAGACCGTATTTGGGATGCTTGATCGTCTTGGTCGGTCCCGCGGGGTTCTAGAAAGGAAGCCGGGGCCTGTCGAGACTATGTGGTAGACGTTATTGCATGGGAGGCGTGTTTCTGCCACCAAATCTCATCCTCAATACATGCGGATACCTTCAGGCACAAAAGTGGCACTACACTGGAGAGAGAAAGATGGACCGTCGTATCGCAGAGGGGGCCAAAGGAAAATAGCAGGCAGTACCACACCGGTGCTGGTGCTACTAAAAGATACACACGGCAAACGGCATCGCCCCCTTCATAAGTCTCTTTCTCAATGCTCAGCCTCTTTCGGTGTTAATCGACCGGCGATCGGCTCTCGTGCAGCAGTGCATGTAGCCCTCTTGAGGAGGCACACAAAACGGACTCATCGGGGTTTGTGCCTTTGGCAGACAACCTCTCCAAGACACCAACACTCAGTTCTACACCAGTAATTTCGCAAGGATGTTGGCTGCAAGTGAATGGGATGCAGCATTCGAACATCTTCAATCGTCGGCAGTTCTTCATAAATAAATAAACCCTCACGATGCAGAGATCGTGCAGTTTGCTTGGTGTCTTGAAGAGAAAACGCGAGAACACGTTCACTCTCGAGCTCTTGAAATATCAATACCGTCAAACAAATTGATCTGTCCATCGAAAACGAAAATTTCGTGGTTTTTTTTCGTGGGTTTTGCTTCTCTAACGTGAAGAGGCTCTGGCAGTTGGCATAGGCTTGACGCTCCCCCAAACCGTCCAGTCGCAGGGCACGTCACGCCACGGAGTATTTCGATGCATGGGGGCATTGGTGCTTGTAGAGCGACGCCATCTTCAGCGTCATTTTGGCCGTTGCATCTCCTGGACAAGTGCTGTGCGCTCCCGGTTGCGAGAGAGCGGATGCGGTTGCTCACGTTGTCTCGGGAACCACAAGCGTCGAAGTTGACTTGGATATGAACTCCAGGACCGGACAAGCTGAAGATTGGAGACGCAGAGACGCCACCGCTTATGGCCGAGCTGCCGCTGCTGAGCACAAATACTCTTGCCGATTGGTTTTAACCTAGGCGGCGCGGTGGGAATCGCCCCGAAAATGTGTGTGGCTTATGCACACTTCGTTTTTCGTCTCGCCCTGTTAGGAATGTGAATCATCGAAAAATACATCCCCGACGTGTTCGTTTTAGGTATTGTTGGACCTGTTAATTTGTTGCATTTAAGGTTGAACCATCGATCGGTCGATGAATACACTGTATGCAGTACCAAGGTGTATGTATAGACACGTGCGTGTCGCTAGCTGTCGTTGTCACTGCGATCTTGCGCCCCTGCGTGTTTCCCCCAATTAAAAGATAATCAAGGTGATTCATCGTGCTGCGACCCGGTGACTCCGTGTCCGAGGACGGCATGTACTTGAGTCGTGCACGAAACAATATTCCTTACCGTGTTCTTAGAAGCTCAGTAGAGAAACCCGCGAACCCTAGCTATAGCTCCATTGAAAGAATGGAGAGCGCTGTTCCTAACCTTCAGAACCGAGGTAGGAGAGCGTGGCACCGCACGAACGGGTGATATGTTGTAGGCCAATAATGATTTCCGATGAAAGCTGAAGCAACGACGAGATATAATGACAACCCGGCCGTTACACACACACACACACACCCAGCGGCAAGCAATGTCTACTCCTACTGGGTACAGAACAGCCCCAAGAGAGTGAAACCGACGGTACTTTCTTGGTGTTTCCACCAAAATGAGGCATTGTACAAAGTACAACAGACCGGGGGACCAACATTCTGCTACCGCACCTAGTGTGCCCATATTGAATGTAAATCTGATGGGCTCGGAGGACTAACACTGTGACGCCGCACATAGTGTGCCCATATTGAACGTAAATCTAATGGGCTCGGACGCTCTTTGGACCTGTTTTCTCCCCTACGTTTTGGTACTCGACAATGTTCCCTTGCCACAACCTTGCCAAACTTCCGCCCCCGGCGTTCTGGCCTTTCCCTGACCACCCTACACTGATGTCGCGCTCAATGGCCATGTATTTCCACAACGATGCACCCTGAACATCAAACGATACCCCTTGTTTTTATCATCTTCTCGAGGTGACCATCAGACCTCAAGTGACGGAATAATCCCCGGCCGAAGGTTCCAGCTGCTCCTCGCCCCCCGTGCGCAGGTTGCCCCCACTCCCCATCCACTACTCCCACGACCGCGGCGGGTGTCGATTCGGCTCATCCATCATGATTTCCGTCTCAAATACAGTCGTCGAGCCTTTCTCCATGTGCCTATGGTGAATCACTCGTTGTAGCTGCGCTCGCCGTAGATCTGAGGCTTGCCCGACGCGGAAGTTGCTGAAGCCTGTCCATCAAAAGCTGCCCAGCATTTCCCGTTCGGCGTGAGGGACGGCGTACGGGACCCGTCTGTTGAGGTTCCTCAGACGAAGCGCATTCCGGGGGAGATGTCTCCGCCTGCATGCAGATCAATCCCCGATCGAACAACGTGCGAAAGGACGTGAGCGGTTGTTTTGAGATATTTGTCTGCCAGGGGGTGGCTTAGAAGGCTTGGAGTAGTCAATATGCTGGTATGCAGAAGCACGTAACAATCACCTTTGACAACAATCGTATTTCGCTCTCTTGTTGGGCATCATCTCCAACATTCTAGAGAGGAAATCTCAGCCTCCAAAAGCTATGGTGCGGTAGGGGGGGTCTGAGAGCGCTGATAGACATACTCGAAGCAGAGTATGATGGTTGAATATGTGTCATGGATCTACGGATTTTTGTAGGTGTAGATTGCGGGGGAACAGGGATTTTCTACTCGGTTTCTTCAGAGATTCGATGGGTGATCAGAAAAGCGTGACGGATACGTGTGGGCATGCACTGTTCTCTGGTAGTGGGGTGCCGGTTTCAACTCCCGTCTAATACAAGACCGTCCCGTCTCGGCCCTCGTTGGTCTAGCTGCCTTTCTCCACAAACCTACTAAATAGCGGCCTACCCGGTTTGTAACCCTAAACCCTAAACCCAACAGCGCGATCATAGTAGAGTATTGTTCAACCGTTTTAGCGCATCAGACCGTTGCCACATAACGTGAAGACACATCGCTCCCTCGTTAGCTGGAAAATGGGTGGGAATCGCGAGCAATCGCCAAACATTAACAACACGTCGAATTTTCCAGCGATATCAAGAACTCATGTCGACCCTGTTTGGGCTCATTGTTCGCCACATCAAGCGATAGCGAGAGTGGGGAACAATCGCTAACCAACAAGGACAAGAGTACGGGCATTCGTCTATGGCAAGGTCAAGTCAGTATCAATTTTTCAACGCCGTAGCTAATTCACTCACCTCTTTGTCTGACATGGGTTCCAGTATGCTGTGGCAGGGCGCGCTCGTCATCGCCACGGGCACATTATCCCAAGGCTCTATCATGTCCATGACGAAATCCTCACACTCCGGGAAGAGCGTGTGGACAAGATTCTTGAAGCACGCGCGGTCGCTCTCTGGAACTGGGATGCGAACAGTGTGTCCGCCGCCTGCTTCTCTGATCAAGGCTCCTTGTTGGTCGTCCGTGACCCACGCGGCTCGCTTCCTCATGCGCATCACGTCCAGGATCTTGGAGAAGCAGCTCGGGTCGCAGTCGACCTTGCGACGGCAGTCTTCACTGGTCCTGCCGCCCAAGCCTTCATCGTTTGCCTCACCGTCGTCACCACAGCCGACCGGCCGGTCTGCTGCCCCCAACCAGGTGGAGAACGCGGAGTCTGGACAAGCCTCCAGGGTAGACCGAAGAGTCGTCACGGACATCCCTCTCACGCTCAGCTCAACGACGGCGTTCTCCTCGACCCTCGCCGACGCGACGCCCGGGCCGTAGACGATCGCCAACGCCCGAGCGGTGGCCGCTGCTCTCTTCTTGGCCTCCTCGAGCTCCGTTTGGGCGTAGGCCAGCGCCATCTGCTCCTCCATCAGCAGCTCCGCAAGAGAAGAACCGAACTGCAGGGCGTACGCCGCCTCAATCTCGTCGGCGCTCCTGTCGGGATGAAGAAAGTGCTTTCGCTTGTCCGGGAAGATATTGCTTTGAGGCGGCGTTGTGGCGACGGGAGCAACATCCTGATGTTCCACCCTGGCGGTTTTGTCAACCCGGAAAATCTCGATTTCTGCCACCTCCTTGCCGTCGAGACCGACAAACGGAGAATCTTCGTCGACATCGTAGAACTCTCCTCCGGTTGATAGTGTGCAGCCGGAGCTCCCGCTCTGACCTTCGCTTTCGCTGAAGGTCACGCACATGTCTTCGAGGCCAAACGCAGGCCCTGCGCAGACGTCTGCCGTTTCCGGCCAGTGTATGGCGCAGGAGTCTTCGCCTTCCTTGATGCTCCACTTCTTTGCCGTTGGGAAGCCCCCGCCAGGAGAATCAAGCAGAAACAAAAAGGCTGAGGATGAGCGCTGGTTTCCAGTCTCCATCCCAACTTCTTGAGGAACAATCTCGATATCCGAAAAGCCCCCGACGACACTGTCGGGGCGCCCATCGTCTGACTTGACGCGGATAAGCGTTATCGTCTCGCACACGCCGCGAACACACTGCTGGAATGGCCCTGTGGAGAAGCCGTCCCGCGATGCGCGATAGAGAAGGTGCAACCCCGCCGGGTCCCCTGGGCACCAGCTCCGCAGCAAAGAGCTCCACTGCGGTAGCTGTAGCGGGTTGGCTGTGGTGGTGCCACCTGCTACAACCATGCCCTTCGTGTTTGGGCAAGCGGGGATGACGTTGGACAGCCCAAGCACGTGTGATATGTACAACAGGTACGGTTCCTCGTGGGCCGCCACAGCCGCTGATGGCCCTGCAGCAGAACGGAAATGACACAGCGAAGCCGTTTCTTTTGTTCGTGTTGTGCAGCCACCCCTGAGCAAAGTGTGGATTATATGCTTCACGCAAGCGGGGGACTCGTCCAGCACGATCCGTCCGTCCATGTCGCGAGGAACTCGCTCGTCCCACATCTGCTCAAACAGCGCGCCAAGGACGGAGCCTTTAAACCCCTCTGCTTCTGCGATAAGTGACCGGTGCACATTTGCCGGTACGCCTCCAATATTTAGCCGGAGAACACCCTCGTTGCCGGTTGTAGGTCGTACGCCAACATCAACCAAGTACTGTTGGTGTCTTTCCCACCCGTTCTCGAGATCTCGCCAGGGCTCGTCCATTGCCGAAATGGCCAAATCGAGTGCCGCGTTTAGCTGCTTGATTTGAGCACTTGCCGTCTCCCGGAAGGCATCCCGTTGCTTGAAATGGCGGCGAAGCATCCTGAACGGCGACAGGCGTTGAGATGAGCACTGCGGGAAAGTCACCGAACGATAAAGGCGTGTTAGCTCGTCGTATCGTCTACACGTATGAATATGTTCCTGCAGCGGCATTGTTATCGGAATCGTGTAGACCCCAGCGTTTGGCGATAGACGAAGCGAAAAAGGGCTCCAGGCATGCCATTACCCGTCCAAGGCACATGTAGTCCCCTCTCGTGCGGGTGTAAGCTCGTCTTGGGAGAGGGAACATACACCATCGCTCCTCCTTGGATATACATGTGGTCTACCCGCCCAAACACCATGGATAGCTTCGAACAACCCAATCCACTTCTGCAAACGCACTGCCGCTGTTGGACGACGGCAGAAAAGGACAGCAGTGCACCTACATCCCCACGAATACATAGATGGAGCAGCACTGTTACGGCACACGTGAGAAAACTCGTAGATATCCAACACCATTGTGCAAGATGCGTAATAAATATCCCGGAATGTGGGCGATCTTTTGCAAAAGATACTACATAAAAAGATACGAGGCACTCAAGATCTGTTCCCAACCGCCCGCCACGGACACAACACACACCCCGATTCAAGACACAAGAGGCAACTTCACTTCTTCGTCCAGAGGAGGATTAGATTGTCGCCCACCTAAATGATGGATACACGTGTGATGCCCGCCGTTGATTGAGGCACAAGGTCGTCCTGCAATCCACCGCCTATGTAGCAGCACAAGTAGTTGCATGTTGTGGTTCCTCCGAGATCTCCGAAGAACGCGGCACAACTATTGCTGTTTTGTTGCGTTTCATATGCATACCGAGGATGAACGAGGGATGAAAGGCTGCAAAACGAACGGGGACGGATGATATGTCATAGGCAGCAGCAGGTCGGTGCTCAAATCTATTGGTGCAGTGAAGTGGGAGCGATCTCGTTCTTGGTTTGTCCTCGATGAGGCTGGTTTCGCCGGGGCACGGTATTAGGAGAACACCTCTATCCACACGCAGCAGTACATCTCTCAAGTTTAGTCTACAGAGGCACACAGATCTCGTTTGAATGAGGATACGTGTCGGGGACAGGTGCTCTCATGGTTATTGGAAGCAGCCATCGCCATGGGGGGGCGTCTCAGGTCGTCCCACTCAACAGGTGAACGGGACTTACAAATGTATGTAGGAGAAAATTGGAATACATTTTATTTTTCCGACCCTCAGGGGGACGATGTGGAACCTGCAAGCTAAGCACCGCAAGTTCTAACCCACTAATGATTTGCACCGCCTACATCCTTGCCTGCCATAAGCAGCCTACAGCACCGTCTTCTGCTATCCACCATTACCCAAAGATACCGCACATGCAATGAAATAGCGAGCGCTGAACCCGTCCTCCGTAGACATAGACGCGTGTTTGTATCAAAAGCGCGTTTCGCACGCAGCATGCACGTACACAGCACCCAAGCTCGGCTTCCCGCAAGTATCATTCAAATCTTGATTGTGAAGTCTTCAAGACATATTTCTTCTCGGTGATTGTGTCCGGGGTGGTAGTTGTTCACTTCATGATGATCACTTCTACTGTACACACTTAGACTATTGCATGGCAATTTTTTACGTACCTGTAGGCATGGTCTGGGACTGCTGTATTGTTTGATGTGCATGTAGGCTTTTGTCCGTTGTTGGCCTTACCCACCGTGTTGACACGTCCCGCGGTATTGCATGTTACTGGGAAGTGAAAATATCCAGCGCCGCATGCCGGCTTTCTTCTTGAGAACAGTATACTGTAGTCTACTGAACACGTAACAGGGAGGAAAGTCATGGAACGAAGCTTCCGTGAACGATTCTATGATGCTAGCTTTTTACGTCGATTTCTGGGTTCAACACTAGCAGAATCTAGCTTTGCTGCAGTAGGCTAGAACAACCACGCGACGCGGATCGCCGTGGAAATTTGAAAGTTGTGGCGCGTCATGTCCCCTTGATCTACTCGTCTCCGCCTCACCTCCTCGTTGTACGGGCTACATGAGTAAAACTTCCACCTTGCTGCTGTTTTTCGAACAACCCCGACAACTCTATCAACAGAAAGCCGACAAATCGGGCATCGACGGGGGACGACCGCTCTTGGCGTCAAAAGGTAGGCGCGTGCAGGGTATCTTACACAGTAAACGTGTAAACCTGCAGAAAGCGTTCGTTTCGTCGTGTGCGGAATCTGCGGAACGTGGTGAGACAGACGCGCTTTTCTTTGTTGAGAGACGTGACACATTCAGGTCGCCCAGTTGATGCGCGAAGGCAAAGGAATAATTGCAAACATTAACGCATTCTGATGGTTCGAATTCGCCGGGAACAGACCCAACAGCTCTGGTTATGTCACTGGCTGAAGCTGATTTTGTCCCATGAAGGAGTTGACGCTCTAGGGAGAGACCAGACTGACTACAACCGAAGCCGGCATCTCGGAGCTTAGTCACCAAAGTCGCTAGGTTCTAAAACATGCTCCATTGAAAGTGTACCCTACACGGTCTATAAATGTATTAATATGTTGTTTTAATACAGCATCGAGAAGGGGAACCGCAAGTGTTGTAGGACGATCAAACAACGACACTTGACACCTTTTATTGGGGGAGTTACACCACCTAGCTGGCGGATCTAGGGCACCTACTACCTCGGAAACGAACGCTGGACAAGATTATTTCAAAGTAGGCTCCTCTGAAAATTCGTACTACAAAGAATATAGTCTATGCGCTATGCTTCTTTCAGTTCTTGTAACGACGCGAGAAAGTCTCCTCGTTCGCATCGACCCCTCTGGCTCTTGCGGCACGGTTCTTGACTTCCCCATTCCCTCCCCGTGCTGGTTGTAATCGACGAAGTCAACACGCAACTCCCCCAGGGGGCGTTGGCCAGAATCACCGTGCGATCGCTCACGCGAGTGCTCCCAAGAAAACTCAAACGACCGCCCTCGAGCCCGCTCGGGAGAATCGCCGCGCAACCGTTTCCGCGAAAATTCACACGAAGCCTCAATTGGGGGGCAACGGGTGAGCGAGAGGTCATCGGCAGCCACAGAAGATACTCTGAAACTCTGCGAAAATTGTGGTGTTTGCGTTTTCGAACTATGGGTCGGCTAAGGCTCTCACATTGCACCATCCTACAGCTGACTGGTGCGTGTGTAAAGTTTCGAGCGGGCCAGCTCTGTTGTTGTTGTACCTGCATGGGGAAAAACGCGCGTGACAGCAGCGACGTTGTGCATTCCGCCCTGTCGCCTTCCTAGCAGACTCGAACAGAATTGACAACGCGTGCCTCAAAGGATTCGCAGAGTCGAATGTCGCTCGCATACACCACGCACTACATACATGTCACGCACGGTTTCGGAGACGCCCGCAAGGCAGCAATAGGGAGTAGATGGATTGGACAATGTAGTTGTGATTTTGGTGGACAGCAAGAACTGGACTTGTGTGTTCTGTGTCCACCGTATGCGAGCGTAAACCGCACACCGCGGGTCTTGTTTTTTCCCACCTTTTACTACTGCCGCCACCCTTGTGCTATACGTACCATGCAGCCGTCTGCCGAAGCTCAGATGGACGGGAAAATGTCGCAAACGACCCCATCATCCCAGCGTGCATCGAAGCCCGCGATTCTTGTCAATCCAGGAGTTTCGGCGGCGGCTGTAGCGACTGGGGCCAACAAGCGAAGACAGGCAAGCATACGAGCAGGTCAATGTTCCACGGTGCTCAACCTCCGATGGTTTACGCTCTTGGAAGCGGCTCTTTTCTTTGTCTTTCTGTTTGGTTTCTTGCCTTTCCGTTTGCCTCTTTTGGGCTGTAAATGTCGTTCTCGGTCCGGTTCTTTCGCCCTCTCTCCTTAAAAACTTCTCTCCTTTGATTCCTGTGCACTCGCATTCCCTGCGCTCTTCGATTCATCAAACCTCGTACTCGTCTTGCGCAAAAAAATGTGGATCCGAAGGTGGGGGCCGGGAAGCGGGAAACCCTGCCTCCGCTTCGTGTCTTGACTCGCCACACGATACGGGGCCCTCGACGGGGGAAAGGAGGCGACAAAGACGACATCTCGACGGCGAAGACAGGGGGGGGCAGCCTCAGGTCGCCTTTGAGCTCCCCAGCCGCAACTTCTCGCAGGAAGCCAGGAAGCCCCGGACACGGACATCCTTCCCCCATGGCGAGACTACGGACCGGTGGGATAGCAGTTCAGGCCGTGACAACCTTCTCCAGTCTCCAGGGCCGCGCCAGTGGTGGCGGCGACAGCTTCGGAGGGCCGGGCGGAGTGGGCGGCGGTGGAACGGGGCCGGCACTTGGATCCGCCCAAGAAGAGGCTTTGGTCGCGGAACGGAAGGTCTGCCCTGCCTATTGACCGAGAAACGTCGTTGCTTTCCAATATGTTCCCTGTGGGGTTTACTCGCACGCCAAATGTTTAGTTGGATCACTACACTCCAAAATGTCCGTTCTCTCAGAACGTGTACCATGGTGTCTTGGCAAAGGTGCTGCGGCTAAGGGTAGTACTTCCTTCACTAGGAGGCTTGGTAACATAGAACATCGAAGTAGTCAACAGGTAAAACATACCATGGTAAAGTACAGGCTGCTGTGTAGGCTTCGGAGTGAAATGTGGGCGTATACAAACTGTGGTAGTTGATCGTAGTCCAAGCTTCGAGCAGAGTGGATTTTTTTACGGGCGGGAGAGCGGAAGGAGAGGTCGCGTTTCAGAACAGGATGCGTATTCTCCACGACCATGAGTCCAGTGTCTACGAGACGAAGATCGCCAGTTAAGCGCTGGGTTCCAACGTTGAAGGGGAGTGCTCAATAGCCACCAAAATGCAATTCTTACGTTGCACCGACACATCCACCAGGAGGGATGTTTCATGTCGTCAGATTTCCGTTGCTCACGAATCAAACAAATACACAGAGCGAATTCGCGGCGTGGGAACAAACGCAACTCCGGGCTTGATTGATAGAGGGGGGTATGATACACCAGTTGAAGGCGTGGAACTGTATCTCGCTCTTGCACAATAGCAGCCCAGTGTTTGATAACTTTATGCATCCAACGGGACGCTGTGCAGGGGGGGTTGTTCATGGTGACGCTCACGCGGCTGACGGGTTGTCAACAACGAGTCCATCGCACAACGTCAAAGTCCCGAACTCATTTGCTGGACACAGTAAGTGACGCAGGTTTCGCAAGTGTTGTCTCTGGACCATGCAATACGAAACGACAAAAATTAAGCAACACGTGAACCGGTAAAATGATGGGGCGGCATTTTTTACTTCGTGGGCTCGCTCTCCTACGGCAGGAGGCGAGAAACCGGCATCCAGGTCCGACCTTGGAAGGAATTGGCGAGCGTGGGCCTGCATCATCGGCCATGCTTGCTCTAAAGACACACAAGTGAGAATTCGGATCTCCTGGATAGGGGTATCCAAGGCCTACGTGGGTGATGACGCCGAAAGTCTCGAGCCCATCCCGTGTGTTTCATCCCGGGGGAAAAGAACGAAACCGAAATGATGCGCGATATTTTCGTGGATGCCAGAGTGTTGTTGCTGATTTTCCCTTCCAGGCGGAACAAAGAACACAGTTGAGTTATTCGCTTTGCCAACACTTCGTGAATCGAACCTGGTAAGTTCATTGGTTACATCTTCAAGCGACTGGATCACATCTGCCTTTGATCGGCGTCTTTTTTGTCCTTTCATAACTGATGCAGAGGTTAATACCGATCTTTTCACGTTTGCGTTCGAGTTGTTTCGCTGGATTTACCATCCGTTGACTAGAGTCAGCATATCTAGACTTAATTTGTTCAAATCGTGAAATCTATGTGTACTGGACCTAGCTTGTGCCAGGAAATAAATTAGCAGGGTCTGGAATGGTAGTTTTGCAGGGGTGAAGTTCTTTGCCAGGCGGTCAATCTTCTCTAATGATTGAGAGTGGGCTTCATGTTACACAGGGGGGGTCCGTCGTTGGTGAGTCCGCATATCTGCATCGGCGCAAGAGAAGACGCGAAGAACCTCGAAGCCCTGAAGGAGCTGGGGGTCACCCACATCCTCAACTGCGCCAAACAGCTGCCGAGTTCACACCCCAGGGAGTTCGTTCACGCACGGCTGGAGCTAGCAGGTCAGCGAAACGATAAAGATTGGGCCTCTACCACCTAATTAGAAATTATGTTCTGCCTCTGTTACGCCACCTCCAACAAGTGCCCTGTGTGATTACCTCTTGTCGAGACGGAGGTCGTTGGGTCTCCCTCCTGGATTGATAGACTCGGCGCCAGGGAGAAATCAGGGGAAAAGAGGGAAGAATCTACGTCGTCAAACTATGAAAATCGAAAATCGTTTCCAGCACGCGCCCTCTACACAGCTTAGCTGCTGAACGCGTTGACCAAGAACAACAGCTTCGCACTTAGAGTCGGTAGCAAGCAACTTGAAGCTGGAGTCCGCGTACTGGTTTGGACCCAGCACAGGGGAAACAAATCAAGACGTCGTCAATGCGTACGGGTTTGTGGGTGAATTGCTGCCTCAAGTCACCGCAAAATCTCGAACACAATTCTGCGAACCATCCAAACACACACGTTAACGTATGTGGGCTCCATGAGAAAGTTGCTTCGTGCAGATTTCGTTTCATTTCGTAGCGTCACTTGCGCCCCGCCCTGCCTCAATCCCATTTTTCTCCTGAATGGGCTTAACCTTCTTTCTCCTCCTCCTGCCCGTTAATACACGTATCGGGGCACGTCGTTCGTACCAATCGCTTTAACACTAATGTTTCGTCTGCCGGGGTTCCTAAGCCATGCGCGCTTTGTTCTCGTCCTGCTGCGTGCATCGTAAAGACACAAGCGAGCAAGAGCTGGCACCGTTTCAGAAAGCTGGGATCTCGTTTCTCCGACAGGTCGAGGACTGCGGCGGCCGTGCTCTCGTACACTGTATCGCGGGGTGAGAGATGGGGAGCCAAATACTGCTGCAGTAGACGCATAGCCAAAGGTTGGGCGAGGTAGACATGACCTTGGCCTTCGATAGGTCGACACCTTCCGTGGTCTCTTGCCATCTCGGCGTGAGAGAGAGAAAATTCCACGAGCTCTCTAAGCAGGGATGAACGAGGACTGAATAAAATACTTTCACCGGCCGCACACCAATAGAGAATATATATTATCAGGAGTGTTCGACGAGACCCACACCGAGCCAAAGGCACACAGACCTCGAACCTGACACCAAACTCTTGCCGCACTCATTCACTCGATACATTCTCAAGGTGCTCTCGTTCGGTATCGATGGTGCTGTTGCACCTTATGGAGGGCCATCGGATCCGACTGAAGCTCGCATACGAGCACGTCAGATCCTATCGCATGGTAGCTCAGCCCAACGAGGGGTTTCGATTCCAGCTGGCGACTACCGAGGTACGGAATATATTCTCTCGAAACTCCAAATTGACATAAAATAGGGCCATGTCCACCGTGCGTATTCACATAAATCTCTCGACACCTGCCAATTGCTAACGAACGAATGACGTTCTCAACAGCCCTTAACCTGGCGTGGGCTTTTGCAACAGGCAATAAGGAGATGAAGTGCGCATTTTTTTGTCTCCCACGGGAACATGAGGAATGACCTTGGGTGTTTCCGGTACTGTAGCAGGTACGCACACCAACCATCGTTCCTTCACGCACTCCAGATGTCAAGCACCAGATGAGGGACCTCCGTATAGCCCCCTTCTTCGTGTCCGGTCCCACTACGAGAGAAAAACATAGCACAAGAAGGAAAGCGACGGCAATCACCTCCCCCCCGTCCCCCACCGCCCGGATTCATAAATATGTCCATGTCGTATTTATATCTTGTGGCGCTTGAAGGTGAAGATATTCGGCTCGTCTTCCGTCAGCCGGGATGCGGACAGCACATGGAACTTCTACCGGTGGAACGAAGTCAAGCAGGGGGTCCCTTACCATGCCACTGAGCCTCCGCAGTCCTGTTGCGGCTGCACCATGGCGTAAATGTCCGTGGATGCAGTTCGGGTTGTACGGTGCTAATCAGGCGGCACAGCAAGCACCGCCTGATTGTGTGCCGTAGAGCACGAGGGCGAACGTCGCACAGAGCATATGTCGGGTAGTTGATCCCTCAAACGCGAACACGGCCTGACGGCGTGAGCGGCGCCAGTAGGGTGATTGGCCAAACCGTTTCCCTGTGCGTCTGGGTGATGGGCCTAGTCGGTTAAGAACACCACAGCTGGACTCCCCACTTTTGCAAAATGACAAAGGTAGGTAATCTTTCGTCAGATGCGCCATTGTGTCGATCGGTGGTACCCTCTAGTTTGTTGTTTCCTGCTCAATCTCTGAGCCAGGGCGGTGAGATCTTTACTCGTGTTTGGGTTGTTTTCCTTAGCTTGCTCGACTAAGGTTATACGTCCTGTGTGGGTTTTGGTGGTTGCCCGCGTGGTGAGGGTCGTTGCGGGGTGTCTTTTTTTATCGATACTAGGTGAGAGCGTCTCCCCCGAAACCTGTATTCCTCTATATTGAGTACTACCAATGATGTGGAGAGACTGAGTAGAGCTCAGAACGGTTTCAACATTAAACCGTCAACACCAACACCAACACCAACACAAGCAACAACCCGAACCCCAACAAGAACAAGAACAAGAACAAGAAGAAGAAGAAGAAGAAGAAGAACAACAACAACAACAACAATACTGGACCCGGATGCACACAAAAAAATCCCCCCTGGTTACAGCACTATATTGTCAGTTCTGCGCTTTACAGACAGCGTGTGTTTTGCGTTTCCCTGTAGGTATTGCTTAGTGGTGCGGCACACCCCGTGGTCGGTGGTGCATTCATCGTTTGGTGGTATTAGGTTTGTGTCTCCACCGTTTGGCGGAGCATGACGTCGGTGACGTCTCCCATCATTCTTCGTAAGTATTGATGTGGTATCTGAACCCCATCAGGCGCCTACGATCCACCAAACCCCTTCCGTTTCTGGATTTGGACATTGTTCCACCGCACCCGTGCCCTGCATACCCCGCACGACGGCCGGAGTGGGCTACAACATTCCACCATCGTTTGTACGACGAGTGGTGTGTGTTAGAGGGCCGGAATCTGCCATACCGACAGGTCACGCCCGCGGAGACTAAAAAAAGGGATACGGCGTTCGGAGTCCCAGTGCTCGTCCCACACCATCTTCGCCGTCTCCCCCTGTTGTGCCGACCCACTTCCCTTGGAAGATGCCCCATGATGATGTTCGCGGTCGTGGGTAGTTTGTGTCGACGTCGGGTCTGCGGTGGCGGCAGGAGTAGCGGCGGAAGTTGCTGCTGGCCTGCGGGTTGCCACCGCCCGGCGAGGTGGTGGTCGTAGGGGCGTCGAGCGCGTGCTGCCAATCCAGCGATCGCCGTCCTCGGCAAGGCGGGCGAACGCGTCGACCAAAGCGGGCACGAGGAGGTTGAACCGCGGCTGAAACTCCGTTGCCTTACTTTCAGACATAGGGCGTGGCTGGTTCCCTGCGATTGCGTCGGGGCTGCTGATACCATTCAGGAGTAGTGTCGCGTCCCCGGCGACGTGTGGGTCGCCTCTTGCGGTCTTACGGTTGTCGCTGGCGTTACGTTTCCGGTTGCCGCAGCTGCTTCTGCGGTCGAACTTCTTCGTAGACCCGGGAACGGTGCACCAGAGATCGGTCGACCAAGGGCCAACCTGCCCGTCTGCGTTCTCTCTCGCGCAGCGGAACGCGTAGCTCGAGCCTGCTCGTGGATTCGGGTGACAGGTACCGATAGCGCGGGATGAGGATCAGACTACACGTCTCCACCCTCGTCGGTTATTTTGGACCCCTTTTCATCCAATGCAGTGAACATTGAGCCTGAAGGTACCCCACTCGAACGGGCTAGAATTATCTTGCTGCTTGGTTAAACATGCGCCCCTCCGCCTGTAACACAACGGCACGCACGCCGCCCAGCGAGGACGCAACGCCGCATGTTTCACTCACCTAGCGAGAGGGATCCAACCACGCACATCGAGCGCCTGCCCCGATACACGAGTTCCCACGGCGCACCGGCGTCCATGCTCTCCTCACTTCGAAGTTCTTGGCCTCCCCCGTCGTCGTCGGCACCGCCTTGTGCTGAGCGGCAAAGATTTATCGTGGTGCTCGAATTGTTCCTGTCGTCGGCCGCCGCCCCAGCGGAATTCACGCCAGACTCCGCGGGGCCTTTCGTGGCACCCACACCGCCAGCCCACTCCAAGGCGGTCCGGTCATCTGTGCACCAGGCGTAGCCGCCTGTGAATCGTAGCCGAGTACGGCACTCGACCACCCACATGCCGCAATCTTCGGCCGACTTGTGCTTCAATGTAGGATCATTTGAGGAAGGAGCATCGTTGGGGGGGGGGGGGGCAGTCAGTATCACACACGGCCACATCATAGCCCTCAAACCATGCCGATGTCCTTGCGACCACAGTCGGTACTGAACCGTCTAATTTCCGGCCATTCTGACGATACACCGAGCGAAATGTCCCGTGAAATGTTCTGCGAGCAACTTGAGACGTAGTATACACCCCATGAACACAGAACTGTTCACGGGGGGAGGAGCATTCGATTCACAATAGCTCACCAACGGTTGTTGTTTCGTCTTCACTGGGAATCAGTTTTTCAAAAAATCAGTAAGAAATATTTTCTTCAGATGCTTCCTCTCCGCGCATCATTCAGCCCGACGCTCACCCAAGGTCCTTCCGTCTTATTCCGCGTCGCGGTCTCAGACGTCAAAGGGATGCCTTCAGGTCGCCCACAGGTCGAACTTCGTTCGACTCCCATCTTGAGCCGGAGATTCTCAAACCCGTTCTTTCCACGAGCATCGCCTCCGCTCAGTACCGACAGCCGCCTCAGGCGAGAATTTCCACCGCTCGTGTCACGGTCGTCGCCGAGGCGGGGTGTCTCTGCCGACAGGGCCGGCCCGCCTGTATCAGGTTAACATGTGCAGGCAAAATGCAACTTGACGCAACTCTCGGTCTATGTACAGGAGCGCGGTTGTAGGCCTATATTTCCACCCTACAACGCTATTAAATTCTTAAGCAGGAAGCGCAGGCTCGACCTCTAGCGTAGGCGGGAAGCTTTTTTTTCCTCTTTGCCGCACGAAGCACTGCCTGGACACCTAAGACAAGCTTTTCCCGCTCACCCGGTAACCAACCCGCCGCTACGGGCGCAGGAGGTCGTTCCGGAAGAGTACAGAAGGAGGCGTGCCTGCGTGACACATTTGATCGATGTTAGTTCCACATTCTCGGTCAAGCATGCCCTGCAGCAGAACAAAGCAAAATATTTTTCTGTGTGTTGTTGTCCACGTGTTGGAGCGCCTTTTTTTCCAAACAGCGTTAGAAGTTATTCGGCATGCTGTGCCTTGTTGGTGTCCCGGTCGTCCTTCCGAAAGGTGAAATTTATGGTTTGGTCGTCACAAATGAACGGGCTCTCGAGATAATGGCACACATTTCATCCCAAACCCGCTCCCACGATACCACAACATACTCCAATTCCGCGTATTGCACATCAGCCACTTGCAGGTACCCACCTCCACGACCCCCCCCGCCTTCCTGCTCCCATCGACGTCGAGAGGCGTGATCGAAAGCGATACCGGCGGCCAGGTTCCAGCCCGTCCACGCGCAGTTTTCCGCGTGATGGGCCGCGGTACAGAGCCGTCCACTGGGCCCTGCTCCCTGTCCACCGGAAATCGACGTTGAGTTGCAGTTGGCACGGTGAGGGAGGGGGCGAGAGCGTTGCTTTGGTGACAGCAGAAGAACATTCCCGGAATACGGCAAACGAAAAAAACCAGCAGCTCCTATTGGGATAGTTCTTCACGACACTACATAATGCCGTTCTCCCTCCCCCCCCGGAAGGGGCGCAACGAGAACAAAGGGCCGTCCGTGCCTGTGCCTGCATCTGCCCGTTCCGCATGCACGCACCCACCCCACCTGGGGTGAAGAGGTCGACCGCGACCTCCTCGCCAACAGAGGGCATCGCCTCCAACACCAAGGACAACTCTCGCTCCCGGGGGGTTGCAGCCAATCGTAAGTCGCCCCCGCCGTGCCCGAGTCCTCCCGTGCCAGCAGAAGAAGCCCTCGCCGTGGTACTGCTCCCCTTGCAAGGGACCACCGTCTCCATCGCTTGCTCTCGGCGGCGCGCGCCGCTTCGATCGTTCAGGTGTCCATTGCTTGGCCGTTGTGCGTCCTCCTCGCTGGGCGATGGCCTTTCGAAGGCGTCGAAGACGGTGTCATCTGCCGCCCACTGTCGAAGGAGACTCAATCCCCACTGGGCGCACAACACTTGTCAGCGGTCGCGCGTGAGACAACAACAGGCGATCGGTGTGTGATGGGCAAGAAAAGAGGGCGCCTGTACCCCGCGGCCTCATCACGCTGAGTGGGGGTATGTCGTGAAACCCTTTTCCGGCTGTTGAGACAATCTTCAATTTCGGGGTTAGGTTTGGGAACAACTTATGGGCTTGTACTCGAGATTCAAGCACTCTCAGACTCCTACTACAAACTGAAGGTGGGGAGTGGTGAGTGTGTCTTAAGGCGGGTGACGGCTTGATGTTCCCTCTGTCCCAACCACACGTTGGGTTTCTGCAATCCCAAAGCCAGCTTTGACGAAAAACCAAGTCCGGGTCGCAATGCAGAGGTTGCAACCCTCCTGTTTAAAGAATGTGGAAAGACCTGCTTTGTTCGACCCATCATTGTGGTGAAATTAAGCGCGAATGGTACCACGCGTCACACATTTACCGAGTGATATAAACTGGCGCCCAGAATTGATGGGACGAAACCATTAATACAAAGGCATCACCGACAAGGGGCACGAAAATTTGAAGCCAGGAGATATTCTAGGAAGTACTTGGCGTTAAGTTGCTCCTTTGGAGTGCGATGTACCTGTCCACCAGCTGCTCGTTTCAAGAGATGCGGCAACTGAAAGTGCCTCGAACCAGGCGACCCAGCGTAGTTGCTGGGCCCCGAAATGTCGTTTCCGAGCCTACACCAAACTGGGAGTGCAAAAAACATACTTCGAGGTCAACCCTAACCCTAATCTGTGACCCTTGCTGATGGCCCGAAAACAGCCATTGCAACCGTTACGGGTAACCCCAACACATGAGCCGCGCAAAACGACTAGCCTTAACCCTCTCTCTCTTACCAGGGAGCCGAAAAGCTTCCGTGAATCCTCCCTCCGCCTCCTTTGCATCTTCGTTCCTTCCCACGACGTGATCATGTTCGAAAGATGGTGTCTGCCGTACGACTAGGGACCCAGGTAGTGAAGCTATGCTGACTTCCAGAAGCTTGAGGGAGGCGCCAAGCTCTGGTGCTCTTGTCTCCTGTGTACCTTGCGTGGCAAGTATGATGCTCTCTTCTTTGCTGCGAATACCGGGATACAGCAGAGAATGTAGGCCGAAAGAAGGGGAGCTGCGCATCAAAGAACACAGTCAGCCTACTGTCATTATGGAAGTCGTGAAAGCGCCGTAAAGGTTTAGCAAAGGCTTTGCAGTAGTGTTGTCTTGCTCATGATTTGCTCACCTGACAGCAATAGTTTTGTCCCCCGCCAAAGAATTGCTGAAAATCACGCTTATTCTTCTTACTGAAAACCGGATGTAGAAGCTCACCCGATCGAAACAGCTTCCACTCTCAGCCATCTGCTTCCTCCTCTTCCTCCTCTCGCCAGAGTTGTGCCGCCGCCGCCGCCACCGCCGCCCCTGCTGCTGCTCCTGACACCTGTAAGACCGCGGGCCGGCAGCATCCAGTCCCCGGCGCGAACGCTCGCCGCAACCACGCCTTCCACTCGGCCTTCCTGTTCGTCGGCTCCGTCGCCTGGCGACAGCCGAGGGTTCTGCACGATGTCACCAGCAAGAGCGCTCCCTTCCCCTTCGCTTGGGACTACTGAACGCGCCCCTTCCCTCTCGCTAGAGCCCTCGTGATTCCCGGCGGGGAACCGCTCGGGGAATGGTTTGGAGGCCTCGTCCGTCTTCGTCTTCCACCCTTGCCCCGGCCGCTCTTGCTTCTTCTTTGCGCCAGCAGTTGCCGTCGAGATTCTCGCTCGCAGAGCGGACACAGAACCAACGCCTCGAGCACACCACCGCAGGCATGGAACAAGCACCGGTCGACGCTCTCCCGCACGACTACCGGCAGCCTCACCTTGCGCCGCTGCCTTTCCCGTCTCCTGCGCCGCCGCCGCCACCGGCCCCTTCTCGATGTTATCCTCACGGGCACGTGGCCGCACACCCCGATCGGAACCGACGAAAGTAAGATGATTCGTGCAAAGAAATAGGAGTTCACGAGCCGGCGGCTCCTCCGTCGGTGCGGAAAGATCGGCGTTGGTCGCGGGCCGGAAAGATCCCCAAGCCTACTTGGCGTGCGAACGGCGGGCAAGGGCAGCAACACAACCATCGGAAGCGGATCACAACCCTTTTGATATGAGCCCCGTGGTGAACACCAATGGGTCTAGTGGAAAGTGTGCCGCTGGAGGGGGGGGGACTGGGGATGGTCGTATCACAAACAACATGAGCCCCCGGCGGAGCAGCTCCAGACGGATGAAGATCAGGGAACGATTCGATGTCATGTTGATGATTAGGATACGAAGTGACAAACGACAAACAAATTCGGCAGCAGCAGCCGAGCGACAATGACAACGTCAACAACAACTTTTTTCTGCGCCTGAATTACGAAGACGTCAGCATGGGGCGGCCCTGGGCAAAACAAAGACAATCCGGGGGTATTTTGGGAGAGTAGACGAAAAACAGAAACCACAACGTCGCTTTGCGTAGTGCTTGAAAAAGCTTCGGGTTCCACCATGGTGTTTGGGGGTAGGGCGTTGCGCAGCAAATCTCAGGGTTCTGCCCCATTCTCCCATTAAAACTGCAAAGGTTGAATGATTATCGGTTGAAATCACCGAGATTGAATCTCAATCGTAGCATCCCGTGCGATACGGTACAGCTGGAAGAGGAAGAATCATGGTCGCTTCTGATCCGAGAAAGGTATTGAACAGGCACATGATGGACGGACCAAGGGATCAGGAGTAGTCTGTGAAGTAGGAATGACCGGCCGGAAGACAGGAAAGGCGGCCACTCAATGAATGCTGATTTGGTGGAGGTAAGAGCCCACGGCGTTGTTCCCCCAATAGCCACAACGCCGGAGCAAAAGATGAACGATCACTGTCCTTAGGGCAGCACGAGAATTCGTTGAAGGCAGACGCCCTGTTCCACGTCGTCTGAGTGCAACTTCTTTGTACAAACAGTGTGACAAACAAGGAGCCCAATCACCCGAAGTACATACATACAGCAGTTGCCAGAGGCTGTGTGTAGCGCTTGGTCCTTCTTAACACACCTTTTCGCACGAGGCGCGTAGACGCCTCCGTCGTCTTCGCAATGAGTTGCTTCTCTCCGACGATCGACGGCCAAACGAGGCCTCGGCGTGCCCCTGCCTCGTAGTCGTTGCTGCGACGCAGGAGGTCTGGGCGAGTCCTACCCCGACACAGCCATGCCCGATGTCTATTGACGATGCGTCTTGGTACTTCTTTTTCTGGTGAACCTCCTCCGCCCTACACGCTTCATTTTCGGCCCAGTTTATCCAATCAGCTTTCAGGCGGGGGTCGACTGCACGCAACGCTCGACCCACCTGGTCGACCGACGGAGAGCAGGACCGAGTGTTCAGATGTACACAAAATCTATCGGGTCGCCTTGTGTTACTCTAGGCTGTTGTACCCCGCCTGCGCCCTCTGTGTGCATGCCACCCCGGTCATACTGTGGTTTATGATAGGCGCCGTCGATGCTCAAGACGCCTTGCCCAGAAGCGCCGTCGCGGACGACAGCATTAGAGATGTGGGGCAACAGGTATCCAAGGTGTCCAGATATCATCTACATTTTCGCTCGTACGTGACTCGTTGCCTACAATTAATTCGAGTTCATGACCAAGCACGAGACATGCTACACTTGCAATAGTTTCGAGCTGTGAGTTCCGGGCGACGCGATGCAAAAAAAAGGGCGCGATACTCAGGGCCATAGCGGGCAACAATCCAAGGGTTTCTCGCGCGAGCCGTCGGTACGCCCTGAGCGTACAGTCCACAAGACGGGCCTATTATGCATACAAGACAGCACTACAACAGCCCGAGCATAACGTAATGCGGAGAAGCTTCGGGCGGCACGCCGACAGAGACGTTGTTTGTTGGTACGTCGTGAATCGTCATCATGTACCAGGTGCAACTTTCCAGGTGGGACAACAATCTCTCCTTGCACTACCCTTGCTGTGTTGCTGTGTGGATATTCGAACAATCAACTTACCTCCAGCAGACCTCGTCGGGTGGCAGATCTTGAAGACCGGAGCACTCGGAGGTATCCGAGGGCACGCCCTCGCCTTCTTCTTGCGTACTATAATATTGATATTTCAAAGTGCGGTCTGAGGCATGAGCACAGACATGCCTGTAGACATGTCTCTACCCACAGCCGTACCTCAAATAACAGGATTGTTGTTGCCCATCCCATCATAGGGACTAAGACAGTAGACTTGGCGTGTGGGTAGGATTTCGTCTGGAGAGTAGAGGTCTGTATGCTGTTCGTGACTTGAGAATGTAGACGGCGTTCTGCAGTAGACTACACAGCAAACACGATGTGGCAATCAGGTGATGAAAACGTTTGTTGCTGTGGTGCGAGTCACGTACATGGTACACAACAAACAATCGGTTTTGCGCACACAGCATGTACACAGGCACGACAGGCAGTGTCCATCACGGTTGGCATCTCGTTTCTGCGGTATGGTCTAAGTGGGAATGAAGACACCGGGGGCAAGAGAGAAAACATCTCCGCGGGTGTATTTATGTATGGATAGGTGACGACAATCATGCACGGTGAGTGTTCGTGTGTGGCTCTCTGGGATAGTTCTGGCTGCGGTGGGGCACTCTCTCTCCCGCCGCCTTGTTGTCCCAGAGTCTTGATCTCGTCTACCGTCGTCAAAGTGATACAGGTATCTTCAACACACTCAAGGGTATACGAACAGTGAGAGCAGAGCGCCCTCCGCCATAGGCCTTCTGCCTACCAAAGTCGCATGACAGCAACACACATACCCCGGGCTCTCGACCACAGGTCTGTATCTCTGTGGTGTTGACCGCCGCAAGATCCAGACTTGTGTACATACGACGCCTCGCACAAAAACGTATGCGGGTATGCATCCAGGCACACACAGATCCGTTATTTCGCAAAATACCGGAGTCATCACAGCAGAGTCGTTTTCTTGCCTCCCAAACGGTCTCCTCTGGAACAGGGTCAGGCGCTGCCATCTTCCGCGAAGAGCTCCCTTCGAGTGAGAAAACCGCCGAGGTCAGGGACGGGTAAATCCAACGACCCGTGAAAGATGCTGCCACGAAACAAAAAAAAGAATATTTTCGGAAATAGATTCGAGAGCACAGACGCTCCGCAGAGAGTCACCCTTTCATCCCAAATAGTTGTCACACAGCCCGCTGGTACATGTGAATCACGATGATGGTGGTGTATGTACAATGCGACTGATTAAATATACATAGAGCGAGCCCAACAGTAGCCAACACGCGCTACTGTGTAAGTGTTCTCGTTTTCAGATGCCAAGTGTTCGGAGATTGGCATACCCCCCCACCCCGCGGCACGCGGAATCGAGGCGCGGAGCCCCTTGCGTCGAGAAGCAAGTAGAAACTTGGGCAGCACGCAGACCAAGGAGGCACGACATCGACGGGGGCCGCTGGCATCTGAGAGAACAGGTGCGTGAGCCAAGGTTCTGCACGCTTTCTGCTCTCCATTGTTCCCGCCACGTCGCGGTCCTGAGACATGAACAATTTGTTGCAAGAGTACCAGTAGATGACTGTTATCAGCCCGTCGGACGGTCGCTTTTCCAAGTAAATCAACCAACACAGCTTTTTTTTTCATCATCACGCTCGTCGTTTGGTCTCCCCTCTCTCGCAAGAGAGCCGCAGATATTCTAGGCTCCATAGCCTCTTGCTTGTATTGATTGGTACCGGGACATACGCACGCGCGTGTTACTTGGCTGCCCACGGGCTGCATGGTTTGGGTGGCACTGCTATTCGCAGCGGCCGTCCGCTGAGCAGATAGTAAGTGGCTCCGCCCTCTGCTGCTGCTGTGCCCATGTTGAATCAATCTCCCAATCGACACTTGGACGAAAAACCATGTTACCTCCTGGCGCCAGTCGCTTGCAGTAAACGCTGCTGCGTACCTCCCATCCCCCCCCCTGCGTCCCTCCGTCCTTCCTTCCCACCCACGCCCGATTTTCGTGACCGTTGCCGCCTGTTTGTGCGTTCCCGTGTGACAACGAGGCCGGGCGTGCAGACTATTATTACAATATTACAATAGATAGAAGACCGCCGTCTGTGGTGTATGGTAAAAAAATAACGAGACAAGTCCTCGCTTTGTGATCTCTCGATCGAGCGATCGTTGTTCTTGCTGTGGTTCATGACCGGACCTGTGCACAGGTGTGGCGCCTCCTCACCCCCGCGAGCCCGCTGCTGGGGCTCTTTCTCTCCTTCTTCTTGCCCCCGCGTTTGCCGTCGTCCCCCTCCTCTTCACGGCAGGCGCAGCTGAAACAGAGGAGGCTTTTTCTCCTGCCCTATTATCCGCTGCTGTGTGAGGCCGAAAGCCTTCGAGTGTTTTTTCGCGAACAGCAAAAAGGAGAGACTGCTGCAGCTTTGCAGTGGCACACAGAGGCGCCCGAACAGTTTTTTTTTCTTCAACAGCGGGGCCGTCGGCCCCGCCCCCCGCCCCGCCCTCCGCTGGTGGCTGCTGTGTGGTGAGCAGGAGCTGCTGCTGCTGCTGCTGCTGCTGCCGCCTCCCCCCCCCCCCCCCCCCCCCCCCCCTTTAGATTTAACAAGAAAGAAAACGGGGCCGCGCGGGGGGGTATAAAAATCTTAGGGGGGGGTTTTTTGAGAAAAAGCCACCCACCCACCTTTTTTTAAAACGCAAAAAAAAAAAAAAAAAAAAGAGTGGGGGGGGGGGGGGGGGGGC